CCAAATCGGTTAATACACAAGCAATAAGCCTCCGTCAAGGATGAAATAATTGCTTCTTCACAACAACTTCAACTCCACCAGGATCAGGTTGACAAGAAAATTTCTTCTGCATTAATCAACAATAAATAAGATCTTCGACAATCACTGGCAATGGCCAGATGATTTGTATTTTTCCAACGCCTACTGTTTTATATCACAATTTTTACTCGTTTTATATCAAATCTTCTACCCGTCCGTTTCGAGGCAGTTGTAAAAATAACTAGTGGGGTGTATGGCGTCGTGCCTTAAGGCAAATTGCTGGAACTTACAGTACCGTAACGAAATGTTCGAGGAATATTGAATGTTTTCGAATAGATTATTATAAATATTGTAACATTGTCTAACATTGATAAAAAATATATAAACTGAATTGCAAAGTTGAAATTATTTGTTTAAATTATATAAGAACTTTATTCAGAATTAAAAATAAAATCTGGATTATTTTCGATATACAAAAAAATGTTTTTTTGGCAAAAAAAAAATTTGAGAAAAAAATTTGAAACAAAAATATATTTTTTTTAAAATCAATAATTTTGTTAAAACAAGCAGATTTTTTTTTTAAAACATTTAAATCGGACGCTTAGTTCTCTCAAAAACTGCCATTTTCTGCACATTTAGCTCTGTATCTTCGAAATGGCTGGGCCTACCTTTGTCAAAAACTAATAACCAATTTTCACAAATATTACTAATTGAACATTTTAGATCATTCAAATCGGATGCTCCATTCTCTCAAAAACTCGATTTCTATTTTCTGCACTCTTTGCTCTTTATCTCCGTAACTACTGGACCTGCCTTTGCCAAAAACTAATTAGCACATCTCGCTATTAATAGGAATCGAATGTTTTTTGAACCATTCAAATCGGTTGATCCGTGCGCCCGAAAATGTAAACAAAAAAATGCGGTACACACACACGCACACACAATGTTGAAAAACCTTCAAAGCGTCGAGAAATGCAAAAAATTTCAATTTCGATTTTTGGACGATTACAATATTTACCCTACGGAAATTAATTATCTAATGAAAAATAACTATATTCATAATTAAACAGTATTATATTCGTATAATTATATAATAATAATTATATATAAGGTGCAATAATACCAAAAATGCCATAATGCATGTATTTCCTGCGAGAAATGAAAAAGTACGTAAAAAATAATAAGATAACCATACATTGGCCATTATTAAATATCATTTCTAATGTTATAGTTGTTTGCTGTTTGGTTCCACAGTACCAAAGATCTTGCTTTAGGAAATTTAACACCTTTGCATTGCAATAAGTCCCGTTACGTGTGCGACGCACACTTTGATGATATATGCAGAAGGAACATAACAGGCGCTTCACTAAAAATTAATGCTTTGCCTACATTAAATGCCTGATTTATACTTCAAGATGATATAACAACAAATGTGTGATAATATTTTTACTCTATAATGTTTCATTATTTAGGTTTCAGTGGTGATTCGTCTTCAGAGCGCAACTGTCTTCTGGATAGTGACATATACCGTAATATTATTATATAATGTAAAATATTTTTGTGCATAATAAATGCTTTTAAAAATTTAATTTTCTTTTTTTTTTAATTTCGAATTTCATCGGTCTACATAATATTGGTGCATTTTTATAGTAATTTTTATACGCACCCGTTCAGTCTACTAATGCCCTCTGTAGCTTCAACTAACACGGACAAATTGCCAAATTGGTCTGAAAAAAACGTGGCGAAATATAGACTGAGAAAGCGATCTATTCTTTTCTTCTATCTATGATTACGATTGTCGTACGTCGCTTTATGGTAGTGTGCCGACACCCTTACATTTGTTCTCTGAGTTACTTCGTTATTGTTCGTTTAACGTAATTTATGTCATTCGGTGCTTCAGATGTGTTTCAACATGTCTGTTTTGGGTATTATATTGCTAAGGGTTTTGGATATTAATTGTATTTTGTTTATGTTCAGTGCTTTAATGGACGATGAATGACCTTAATTGGCGATATAATTATTTACAGGCTTATGGTTAGTATTTTAATGAATTAATCATTAAGCTTATTAGATTAATTTCGTGAATAAAGCACATAACTTTGACTGCATTTTATTCTGCATTTGCTGAATTGAATGAATTTGTGAATTTCGTATTTATTTTTGTGGCACAATTTTAAACTTATTGTTTGTCTTATTTATGATTATTAAGTGAGTACGTACTTCGTTGTTCTTCGATATGGTTTCAATTTCAAGGTGAGGTTATGACAAAGCACATGTTAAATATATTTTAACAATCGCTTTTGTATGCATTTCATCTTTTCTTTCTTTTTAATTCCATTTAAAATGGAAATCGTTTTTAATACTATTTAAAATGGGAATCCAAACAATAGTTGTTTCGAAAGTAGCTTCGTTGTTTTTCCACAAATTATTTGTATTTGTTTTTTAAACTAACATCATACCTGAGCCTTATTATTATATAATTTGAAACTTGTTAAGGTTGTATTAAGGTATGTGAAAAATGCTGATCAATTAGGCACAGTTGTTGTTGGATACTGTCTCTGCAAATATGGAAACAATTCGCTGCATTGTCAACATATTTTACTGTTTAACTGTAGATAACATTACAAATGATAAAAGTTATTAAATTCAATTGTTTATGTCCACTCGAAAGGTCAAGAATTTTATCAAAGCTCAATGCATGAGTTTTCCAGGTTCTTATAGAGAAAAACCTGTGTCGCCGAATTAAAGTCTGCGATTCATTTCTGAAACGACCTGAAAATGATTGGTTTTTGAAGAAAATCACCACTAGGAATGAAAAATGGGCTGAATACAATATATCTCATGCAATTGCTCATGAAACAAAAAAAAGAACTTTCTCAAACCAGTTGCAAGCCGATGTTTACTAGAAACACTTGATGCTTATGTTTGGTGAGATTTTAAGTCATGTCTGTTTTCAGTTATTTCAAGTTAGCATAACAGTTCATTCAGATGCCTGCTGTGATCAGCTGAATAAACTATAAGATATACTTCACGGAAAATGAACTATATGATATGACTTCAACTTCTATACCGTGAATGGTACACAATGCCACACCCACCGTATTCTCCAGACATGTCATAATCGGACTATTATTTGTTTCTGTTACTAAAATAATTATTAGACTGTAAAACCTTTGCTTCAAATGAAGGGGTCCAGAAGCACCTTTATCAGGTTTTTGTTAATAACAACCAAAAAATTTATGATCTTGGAATTACACTACCTCTAGAAATTTGAATGAAGATGTCTGAGTTAAATGGCCAATACATAAGTTAATACAGTATTTCTTTATTACACAAAAATGATTTGTTAAAAAATCTATAAAAACAGAAACTACTTTTGGAACAACCTAATATCTTTATTTTTTATATGAAATATTATAATAATTTTTATTTTTAGGTGTCAGTGAAGAAGTACTATTCAACATGAGGAATTTTTTACATAACAAAATCATACTATATTTAAGAGCATTTTGAGGTAACTTGAATAAGGGATCGAATTCAGTAAGTTCTTGCATGTTTTTTTCATAACAGAGTTAATTTGATCACAATAATTAAATATTAAATAGTTTTGTTTACTCATGCTGGCTTGTTCAATTTTCAAATTTCATCACTGGATTTATCACCCATTTTAATATTCCTTTTTTTTAATACCAGTCAAAATGACTGGTCTATACGAGAACATGTTTATTGTGGCTTAAGTTGAAAAAAACTAATTACATTTGTTAAATAAACTTATAGATATTATCATATAATAAAACACACAATTTCTCATAGTTTTTATAGTTATTTAGTGGTGCAATACTAAACAAGTTTTCAGTATCTTACTCTTGTTTGTGCATAAAGTTCCTTCTAACAAAGTATTTTTAGATTTAAATTTTTGTATCTACATCAGATGCCAGCCAACCAAGCTATTCATAATTGGAACATTCAAAATTATATGATTTGTTAATTTTTTGTCACATTATAGTATGTACAGAGTTATTATCGTCTTAATTATGTTTATAAAATTTTTGTGAAAGTATAAAAAAGACTGGTAAGCAATGTTTTTGGTAAAATAATAAAATACTCACTTTATTCAAATTTGATGGCATTTTGAAAAATGGTCAAGGATTATTATATAGTGAGGTGATCATATTTTTTTAAATTATTAAAAGGTTTCTAGTTAAAATATATTTAAAGAAATATTGGCAATCAACACAGTTTTAAAAATTTGGTTCAAAACACCTAAAACCGGGACAAATATTACTTTTAGAAAAAACCGGAACGCAAGGCGGAAAACCGGGAATGCAAAGCGAATTGTTGTCGGTTCTTTTATTTATTGCTGCCTCATTGTGTAATGATATTAGGCATCTTTTACTAACAAGGTAACCATCAGGTTTACTCTTCTGGGATTTTAATGAAACTTTGCATGGTTGTAGAGTTGATGGTCAAACCGAACACCTTTAAATATTAGAGTCCTATGGGAAGCGGTTTAATTAAAAAAATTAAATAAAAATTGGTTAAAACTGCTAAAAACGCGCTAAGCCCTATGTCTACGCGCGTTGCGGCGCTTACTATCAACTTTTTGTTCGAGGCCTAGGCTCACAGTCGCCAGTTCGAATCCCGCCAGAATATTTTTTTTTAAATTTATTTTTACATCTATTTGGTTAAATATAATAATAATTATTATTAATTTGTTACATGTACTACACAAATATGTGAAATTTATAAATAGTAGATATTTATGAAAGCATTCTGAAAATAAATACATTTGCATTGCATATTGATAAAATAAAATAAAACATTTTTTTTTATAAATGACTAGCTGACCCGGCAAACGTTGTTTTGCTAAGTAAGGTATATTCTAAACAATTTCTAGAGAATCAAAAATATTAATACTTTAAGTGTATAAGGATGTGTTGTTTGAATGCTATATACAATGAGGTATTATCAAAACAATAAATTCCATTAGTTTGTCTATGTTTTGTCAATACAATCAAACTGGAAGCTTTATACACTTTCTATAGAAATCATGGTATAATCCAATCCAAGTCTTTTTTGGTATTTCGACTTACTGATTACGTTTTAAGCTTTTCAGATTCTTCTGGATTCTGGATTTTGTGTATAATTGTAAATAATACTACTGAGCTTATATAAATTTTTCAAATTTCTGCGAGGAGAAATAGAAAATGAATTAGATATATCTGCTTTGACCTGCTTTTTGAAAAGTTTCAAGTAACATATCTTAAATTAATGTAAATTTAATAAAAAGTATATACGTAGAGCAGGGCAAGGCACAAAGGTCGAATTTGAGTTTGAGCAAATATAAATTTTATTATGAAAATCAAACCAATTTTATCACAACAAATGACACATATCAAACAAACAATTATCTGACTACGTTCATTAATGTAAAAATGAGCTTTTTTCTGTCTTTCAAATATTTGTTATCTAGACCTTTTTACCCTATAGGCGGGGTAACTTGGAACGGCCAGATGGCAAACAGGTTTAATGTCTTATTTTAATTTTAAAGGTATTTTACAAAATAATTACATTTTTAACTAATGCTAAAAAAGTACCAACAGAAGAAAATACTCTTACTATGGATTTTCAAAGATGACCGTTTATCTCCCAATATCAAAGTCATAAAATCAAGGTTATAGCTGGTTATACACCTTATTCCCTTCACTTTCAAATAATGTTGTTAAACAATGCTTTATCTTTACAGGTTTTTGACACTTTGATCGTGGAACTTTTAACCCCGTACCTTCATATATTACTAACCATTTTTCGATGAATTCTGGGAAATTATAACTGGGAATGAGTTATTCGACAAAATGTACATGTAAATGTAAATGTATGTAATGCTCTTCTTCAGTTGTTGCATTTGCAATATTTCGCATTCTTCTTGCATTACGGCTTTGTTGGGAAAGATTCGATCGTCTTGGTCGCGGCGTTATTAATTAAACTTCACTTCACCTTATATATATAAAACCAAGAACTAATATTCATTCACTATATTTAACATGAGGTAGTAGAGGTTAATTTCAATGACAGAAACACCGATTGACAGTTGACAATCGAAGGTAAATGTCATGGATGAAATCATTGATAGTATCAGGGCCTTTTCACTTATAGAACAAAATCCTCGTTCAGAAGGAATACTTAGGGGTCCATTTGTAGTCGCAGATTTGGCGCTAGTGAGCCGATGAAAAAGTATTTTCAAATGTTTTATATTGGTTACTAAGAAACGTCAGTGTTATTTTTGTATAAGTTTACAAAATGGCGATTCTTCTTCGTTTGTGTTTGTATATTTGTTAATAAAGATTTCATCAGGAATTGCTCTCAAATGCATAGCCCTTTGACAATATGAATAGAACAGCTTCAAACTCATATGGAGGACATAATTACTACAATACTACGTAGTGCATTGACATATTAGTCTAATCATAATACACTTTAAGGAAAGAGATCAGTTCTAGGAAATTTTGTAAGAAATCAAATATACGCTTCTACAAGAAAGACATAATACACAAATAGAAAGCTGTTCCAGCTGTTTAATATTGGATTACCACTTCACGCGGATCTGAATATACTTGGGAAAAAATCAAATTTTGCACGGGATGATTACTAGTTAATGAGAGTTAAGAATGACAGACGATGTAATGAACTAACACTATAATGCATTATTCACTAAATTTCACTAAATATTTATATTAATAAGTAGAAAAAAGTGTAGAAGTTATTCCAGTAGATTAGATGTGATATCTATTATATATAAACCGGTGTATTGCAGTGTATTTATTGATTTATATTTCGATTTGATTGTATATTTATTATAATATAATATTATCTAGTATATTTTTGTTATTATTGTATCATTACAAAACATAATAGGATTGTAATACCGAATTTAGTTTCAAATACCCGTGTATTAAAATTCATTAATTTTCATTTCAAATTTTGCGCCATTAATTTGAGTGCCAAAAGCAGCGCCACCACGTCGAGCGGAGGACCCTTTAAGTATTCCTTCTGAACGTAAAAATCGGGCGAGAGAAGCGTCTATATGAATACGGGGTATTCTAATATTGTCTAGGGATAGTATCATAGATTGAATAAACTACATGGATAGTTTATAAATAAATAATTCAGAATTAGAATAAAAAACGGGATAAAAAGTATTTCGTATGTTTCTCCTGGCTCTAAGCTACCTCCCTGCCATCAATAGATTACTGAGCCACAGCAACGCGTGGCCGGGCCATGTAGTATTTTTTTTCATTAGTATATATATAATGAATTAGAATGAAAAACGGGATGAAAAGTATCCTATGTGTTTCTCCTGGCTCTAAATTACCTCCCTGCCAATTTTCATCTAAATCGGTTCAGCCGTTCGTGAGTTATAAGTGTTGCTACTTAAGCGATCCTCTTTTATATATATAGATATGTATTTAAACTAATATAATATCAAACATAAATAAATAATAATATAAAATAATATAAAATAAAAACTTCAGGGCTTACAATTAGTGATAGCACCTAATGTTTTTTTTGGCCTGAAATTAACTCTGAGACTAGGTATGTAGTTTTATCTAAAATAACTGAAATCTTCTACTTCTCGGCCTTTGTGATTGAAATGTTAGTATTTTCTTGCGTCTCTGAAAATCTTCATGTCTCTGAGAATGTCTGTATCATCGAATTTCTTTTGTGTTAAAGGATTTGATAAACGAGAGAATTTTTTTAAGAAAAGTGGTACAGGTATTAGTTTTGATTTCAAGATTTTCAATATTATGTAGACTTGATTCTAATCTGCTAAGTACTATACTATAAAAGATAAAGACGATAAAATTAAAGTTATGGCAATTGTTTGGAATGGCAAAATTTGGGCCATCACAAAAATATAGAGTAGTCTCTCTGAAATATGAATTTTAGATTTCTTAACCATTTATTGATACGTGTTTCATTTAAGGTGATTTTTGACGAGTTAATTTTAGATTCGTAAATTTTGTTGAATTCTTTAATATATGGAAGATTAAATAATTAAGTCTTCAAATGTTAAACATGCATTTCATAAAATCGTCTTTATATCAGCTTCCCAAATACTATCAAAATGTGGTGGTTTGCAGAAATAAAATGCTAATTGATCATGTAGTGGTTCATAATTTTGATATGATAGTTTTTATCGTTAATTGATATAGGTTTTTAATTTGCCGTTGTCTGAATAAATATTCGTAGGTTTTCCACGACCGTCTCAATGTAGCTAAAAAGCATTTACAAGTCAAATCAGACACAAGCTCCAAATGAACAGCTCGCATACTAAAGCATGCAAATTGGCATATATATCCATTGATTTTTTATAGCCTTCAGTGGGACGATGTCCGAGAAATCGGATCTTCAAAGTCTACCTCGCAATTAGTGAATAGCAATTGCAGAGTTCTACGGTTTTTTGTAAATAAGACCAA